CATTATTACTTTTATTTTTATATAATCTACTTTTAATGCCAGTTCCGCTGGTTCTAGGATGTTATTGCTTTAATAGCCAAATTAACAATGCAGGTAACTGGTAAATCACAGCAGAATCGGAAGCCAGACCAAATTTTATACATAAATTTCTGATATTGCATAAATAATCACAGAATGATTACATAATTTACATAGTCAGCATATTGCCCTGAACAATCTGGCTCCTCATTTTACTGACCTCGAAAGGGTGGGTAGAGTTAGTCTACAATACTGCATTCTAACCACCATGGCTCTTAAAAATTTCTAAAATAATTTATTGTATCAAAACCAACAAGAAATTTAGGGTGCCAGTCTATGTCATCAGATACATACTATGTGGAGTTAGTTGCACAGATAGTTGGATAGGCAAAGTGATATGTGGACTTTTAATCAGTTAGATTGGAGAGCAATACAATTCAAAAAGTTGGATTGTGAAAGTGACTGTGAATAATCAGATTTACAAAGTAGATATAAGTAAAAACAAATGTAGCCATTATATCTATATGGAGAGTTTTTATTTTCTGAATAGTTTCATGAAGCTGTCATCCAGGAATGCAGAAAAATATCTTGCATTTTTAAAATGAAATGAGAGCAGATGAATTTTATTAACTATGAGTGAAATGAATGCCTGTATTTTAATCTTGCACTTAAATAAGATAAAATTAATGGTATTTATTTTTAGAAATAAGTAAATTTTCTGCCTATGTTTTATTTGACTTGTTTCCTCTGTTTGCATGACATACTTAACTGGGTCATGGGGAGGGAAGTATGATACCCAGACTCTAAAACCTAGCCAATTAATCCAGAGATAGTTAGATATAATCCCAAACACACCCGGTAATCCGTATTATTTGCTGTAACAAGGTACAAGGTAATGAATTGACTGGGGGAAGGGATTGCTTGGTCGTTTCTGACATGCAAACAGGACCATTAATTCCAATGTATAAGTCATGGCAATTTTTTCCAGTAAAAAATGTGATGCTTACAACGATACACAGTGACCATTGATAAATTCTGCTCTTTGGCTGTGACAAATTGGTGTGAACAGAATTCCAGTTATCTGGTACCCTAAGTGGGATTAGTTTTAGTTCAAAACAGCACATGATTCTTTGAAATTAACCTAACATATGTCAGCTGACAGTGTCAAGTCAACATGAAAAAAGAGTGTCCTTCTTTTTCTACTGCCACAAAGCATCATCTACAATAAGAGCAGCCCTGCAAAATGGCACTGATTTAGGAACTTCCCTTTTTTAAAAAAAATGTATTTTCATCCTTCCTCAAATAGTTAGGGAAAAATAATGGTACCTTGCTTGGCTCTACACAGTGGCACTGACCTTGATCAGAGCATATGGATTTTTAATGGGAGAGGGCAACATAAAAAAATAAAAATAAAAAGTGGCAATCTCTCAGTAAACTTTTGTGATAATTGCAATGCTATAAAAATTGTTAGCAGCTGTTTGACCAGGACATGGTGAACTGTGTTACTGTTTTGTGGGGTGTTTATTCTGGGAAAGTGTCTGACTGGATGAATTGTGCTGTGCCATAGCTGTTGTACTGTGAGATAGATCCTGAGAAAATCCATATAAAAAGAATAAATGTTGAAGTTTCATTTTATGCTTTATTTATTTGGTATTTCATCAGATGTGTCAACAAAAACAAGATGGATCTATGGGCAGAAATTTCTCATACATCATTAGTCATCATAATTGTTAGAATGTTGGCCATTACTATAGATACCCCAAATGCTCTGAAGCTCATTGGAATACATGAGCTAGTCAATGAATCTCTGGCTGTCAAATTCCTAAACTGTATATATACAATAACATAAAATGCAAAATGAAAGCATAATGTACAGAAGGTAGCAGTAATAGTCATTCAAAATCTAAACCAATACAAATAAATGCATTAATTTGTTAGGTATAACATTGATACCAAATATGGTTTGGGTGAATAAATAT